TCAGTTTCTGAGACGTGGCCGCTGTAAATACGATGCGCAGTTGATCTGAAAGTGTTCAGTGACGGAGGTAAGGAATTATAGTGGCGTGTGTGTTAGTTCAGCAACAACTTAACTACGTAACCAATCCGTTGCACCTACAATTTCAACTCCCACCACTCGTCCCCTCATGCGCTACTCAGCGGCCACGTCTAAAAAATCTAACTGTAGTACCCAGATGCTCAATCAATTTGTGTTCAAACGAAGTTCATGGAAAAGACTTACTCTTGAGAAGCTGACAGTCACTCAGTTAGTCAATAAATTTTGATGGAAACTGATGGTTCGTTGTTCGCAAGAGCCCGCCATTGGACCCCCACCTCGTGCAGTCATTTACTCAAAGTTAAGATCCAGTTTACGAGTAATAAACTGTATCAAAATGATTGGTTTATGAATTCAAAACAGCAAGCTCTTCAAACCGATTAACAGCCACATATTCGTGCCAATTACATTTTTCTATGCCGATGTGATGCCTCTCATTTGATTTGCTTTAAAATGGAAACGACCTTAAACAGTTTAACTGCATGTCAGTCTGCAACCAATATCACATTCCGTGATTCATGAACCACGCGAGGTTCGCATCAGTGAATTGTATTTCAGTCGCGGTTAAATCTTTCGGCCTCCAGTGTGCTGGCTTCCACAAACAACTTCATGTTCATTAGCACCGATTCCGACAGTCAATAAAACATCTGCTCTTGGGATCAAATAAAGAAAATACGATAGTACACGCAACGGACATGAGAAGGTTTAAGGTAACTTGCGAGCGACACCTCTAATCCACAGCATCCAAAGAATCCTTTGAGCACAAGATGTGTTCGACCACACAATATATAACAAATTAATTTCTTTCTTTCAAGCTGACAAGGTATCAGCGTCGAATATTCTAGTTTGACAAACATCGACAATTTTCATAAATTTTCCACGAGTTTTGTATTAATATTTTTTTCAGATTTTACCAAGAATATGAGCACCATTGGAATAACTATTTAAAGCCCAGTTGTAACTAAGCATCTACTCTGGCATTTAATAATTCTACATTTTTTCCCACAGATTATATTTTACGCAGAATCTTCTTGAAACCTCACGCAAGAAAACGTTTTGAAGATCTAGGGGAACACAAAAGAATAATATTAAAACTGATATTATAAACACGTTCATTCATTCATTTAATGAGTAGAGTAAAGTTGACTGTGTCCGTCAAACACCGGGTTTTTGCGTACCACAGTCTAATATAAGTATTTCTGAGACACTGTTCTTTAGTTACACAGATTTTATTCTTATACCTAGAAACCTATAATTCCATTCTCTCTTTCTGCTTATATCTTTTTCATTTTATTCTCTTATTTACACCTAGCTTTATACAAATATCCGCTTATATTCCTTAAATCAACAATATTATTACAATTTGTCATTCTCTTCTAAGCTACCTCTTCACTTATACCAAGTAATTTCAACCCAAAACGTTCTTTTTATCACGAAACACTTAATACAATACACAGAAAACTTCTTCTACTCTACAAAAAGGATGTTTCTTTCGTTACATAAATGTGGTGGAAATAAGCGAACGGAATTCAGTTGAGGTCTCATGAATATGCTGATGAAAATAATCATGAAATGGGAATTTTCTTCATCACTGAATAATCATCAACTTCTGAATAAATAAACCGTTCCATAATGGATTAACAATCAGAAGATAGTGGGTTCAGATCTCGGCCATGGAATTACTGTCATCAGTACCTACTGGAAAGTGTTCCGTTAGAATGCTAAAATAAGCCACGACTCCTTCCACAACCATCTCAATTCATGACTCACGACCTTTCACGTATCGGACCCAGTAAAACTAATGCTGTCGATATAGCGATGTTAAAAAAACAAGCTTAAATGTCCCACTCTGGTTTCTTTCAGGCATAAAACAGAAAGCCTGGAACTATTTCGCTGTTATTCACGACTATAAAAATTTCCAAGTATCTAAATGAAAAAAATTTTCATGTTTATTTCCTTTAAAATTATAGTAGGAAATCTGTACAGTACAATGCAGTCTGTGTTTTAAGTTGTGTCTGGTACAGGATCTATTCTAGCTCAATCCATGTTATCTAAAAAGCTCTCAGACGCTCTAACTGTTGCACTTCAGCCAGTTCAAAATAAGCGACTTGGAGTGAATTATTATATGGTAGGGATTAGAAAGGACATAAGCGCTCGAATTCCTTCTTATTCTTGGTTACAAGCTGCTGTGGCGACCCCTAACCTGTTTTTAAATTAGTAAACTCTTTTACATTTAGCGACAGATAACTTTTGTCAAAACACAAGATTTATATTACAAAAACAAGTAATAATATATCTACGAAGCGCTGTAAACCTTGTTTGTGAATTCCTTTCACACAAATTTTTTCAAGTTTTTGTGATTTAAGCTAATGCGCGCGTAAATGTTATTCACGTATTTCAATCTATTAGACGTCTTTTAATGTCTGGGCAAATATAATAAATTTTGTATGTTTTGTTCTCATGCGCTCTATGCTTCAGTTGAAAATAAATTCATTTCAGAATAATCGAGAATAATTAAACAGAAAAGTTGGTTGACCCGGCTTCAGCCCATCTAGACTCATACATGGATCGGTCTAACACCAAGAACAGTTTTCAGTGCCTTAGAAACAAAACCTCACAAAATGACGCCGTCCAAATACTGATGCTTTCCAAACTTCCTCTCCCAAATCTTAATACCACAGGATAAACATTCCGTGGTGTAGTTATACTAATTATCTTCTATCAAGTAAAGGTAACTCGTTCTCGTAAAACTCAGACTGCAAAGCTGATAATGGCTGTCTACTGAGATGTCGAGCCGTGCAATGTAACAGATTTTTTAAAGGCGCTTACTGCCGCCATGATCAGGGGGAAGTAGCAAGCATCTCTAAAATGTCGGCCATCTTCATACCCGCCGCCGTGAAAGCCTGTAATCTCAGTTTTGCAGATTATTTCATTCAACTAAACATTTGATTTGAGGTTTTCACAGCGATGAGTATGAAGATTTCTGTCTTCTGGGTTGTTACGCCGTATAGTATGGTAAATGTCCACCAACGTTTCAGAGGTCATAGTGCCTCCGTCATCAGGGCAGTGAGTCTGAAGATTTCTGTCTTCTGGGTTGTTACGCCGTATAGTATGGTAAATGTCCACCAACGTTTCAGAGGTCATAGTGCCTCCGTCATCAGGGCAGTGAGTCTGAAGATTTCTGTCTTCTGGGTTGTTACGCCGTATAGTATGGTAAATGTCCACCAACGTTTCAGAGGTCATAGTGCCTCCGTCATCAGGGCAGTGAGTCTGAAGATTTCTGTCTTCTGGGTTGTTACGCCGTATAGTATGGTAAATGTCCACCAACGTTTCAGAGGTCATAGTGCCTCCGTCATCAGGGCAGTGAGTCTGAAGATTTCTGTCTTCTGGGTTGTTACGCCGTATAGTATGGTAAATGTCCACCAACGTTTCAGAGGTCATACTGCCTCCGTCATCAGGGCTGTTTTTTGTGCGACCCGCGTATATTTATATAACATGGTAAAACACTGTATAGTAAAGTAACTACTGCAAAACATGAGAACCCAATGCTCTACTATATTCCTCCTAATAGTCTTATTCTTTAGTTTGTGATTCCATCAGAATATTTGACTATGTAGGTAATCTACGGCCATAACTTTTATGGAAGACTAGGATAAACGGACATTCTCCTAACCTAACCTGAATTTCCAAGAAGAGAAATCAATAAATTAAAATTGTATAACTTTGGAAGTTTAACGAATCTTACTGGCGCCCACAAAAAATTATCGGAAATCGTTATATAACGTAAGCTAAAAAGACGAAGATACGGAAATACTATTATTCATTTGTCAGACTTGAGGTTTTCACGGCGGTGAGAATTGTGTTTTTTTTTCTGTGTTTTAAACGCCGTGTAGACTCGTAGATACACGGTACCAAAACCCACAACAACAACAACAACAACATTCTATTCCTCTTTTCACAAATAAATATCTTTTGTTCAGTTATTA